GATTAGTATAATATGCATCTCCATTATTTGAATCGAATTGAAATGTATTTTGAATGACAACTCGAATAATATTCATTCGTTCGAATATCTTTAAGAAATATTCGATATTCGTTCATTTTTAAAAAATTTCAACGTTTTAACTATACTTAGCATATCATTTTTAGTGGCTTCTTTATCAGGCTTTGACTACAAATTGACGCTGTAAATTTACAATAGGGTCGCGATGGATATAAGTGTCTAAAAATTGATGCATACGCTCAAATTCAAAAGAAGATTAATGTTATCTTGATTGCCGTGGGTGTAATTTGCGACTGCTTTATACGTAAAAGGGCGAACCGCTTTCAGTGCATATCTACAAAGGTAGTAACTAAAGCGCGTCGCTAGCTGCGTTGTGAGCAATACTGCTCCGTTATCAGGTTTAATCACATTGCATATTTGTACTTGTGATCTAGGCAAATTAGTTACCTCTAAGTAATCATATCGCAGTTCAGTTTTTCAATAAATACTGTTACTACACATCTTCACCAGTATTCATAGACTCGCACTAGCCTTCTGACATCATTTACGTGGAGATGAAAAATTTAGAAAAGAACACGAGATAAATGCAATTTACGAAACGCTACGTCGCTAATACAATCTACATTGAACGACGTTCTTAGTGCGCTTTCATGGCAAATTGTTGATATTCAGTTAAGCTTTCACACATATTGTGATTGACCATTCTCTCTGCCCATTAGAAGTAATGAAGTAATATTGCGTGCGTTATTATAAGCAAATCGTTCACTTATACGAATAGTCTATGTTACTTAGTAAGTATGTTAGTCATGAGAAAACGTGAATGTCATTTTACAGCACCCATACAAGGACAACTATATGAAAGACTGAACAGGTAACTAGCTAAGTTTGCTTTATAATGCTCCTTCCCCATTTTTAACGTAAAGGGTTAGAGAAGACAAAAAGTCTCATAGGTGATTGACAGCATAACTCTATCAACTTTTCTGAACTTAATATGCGTATTTAAGTATTACATACTTCAGATCATATACTAGTCAGGCATCATTATTGAAGACTGTAGATTATCGCTGTACTCAAAAGCAATATAGGATCACACTATATGTGTAGCTCGATAGCTGCGATTTACACTACGGGTAGCGCACCCCAGCGATGAAGAGGCTTGTCCTAGCCAAGGAGATATCCTCTGATAAGGAGAGCACATGAGTCTCTGATGAACCGCATCGTCACTGGGTTCTAGGTCCGCCTAATAATAAGCTAGAAAAACCAATGGATTACAATTTTGTAAGTTCAGTCATTGTTTGAGAAGACGAACTTTGGAAGTAACAAATTGAATAACAACAACGTGCATGAGAAAAATATAAAATCGTTGGTATAAATCTACGAGTATGTACAAAAACCTCCAAAACCTATGATCTATCGAGCTTAGAACAATTTTAAAAAATGAACAAGGTTTCGAAAGCACAAATTGGTGGGTGGACGAGAGGTGTAAGTGATAGATGACTTAGTATCAGAGCTTTTGGCTAACTTAATCAGAGTAAAGAATATACACAGAAAGACTATTAATTACAGCACTAAAAGGGTGTTTCGAAGACAAAATCAAGCTCAAGATGTCCAAGTCAATGATGAGAAGACATTAAAATGAATAGACAGAGACTGAGTGGAATCTAGACTAAAATCGCAGAAAGAT